AGTTTCTTTACGCTGTAGGACAGCTTCTTGTTCGACTTGATGGTCATGGTGTTGGTGTTGCTCTTGTTCTGGCACATGATGATAGGTATTTCTTTAGCTGGTGATGTTTACTGTACGAAGCGTTGAGCTCGAATGATGTCTGATCCTCGGGCAGAGCGTCCTTTTATACCCGCCAGGACGTGGAGAAACCCAAAGCCGAGCAGGTCACAAAACACCGAGTGTGGGAAACTACAAGGATACGTGTCCCGAAAAATCCTATACACAGTACACACTGTGTGTGCGGATACCCGGCGAGGCAACAACAAAAACGGCAGGTGTGTTTTTCGAAAAGGGACTGCATCGGCATCAACCTGCGTGCGTCGGAGTGTGACGGCATGTCGTGCCGTACTCCTTGCACCTGTTGGAGGTGCGGGCAATTTTATCCTGCTGCAGGATCGTGAGAAACGAGACTTTCTACCAGTTCCCACAGTCTCGCTTCCAAAGGATCCTTTTTGAAAATGAGATTCGTTTTTTCCCTTTTTCTGCCGATCACTTTTGGTTTTTATGTGCACTTATCTTATTATGTAGGCTGTGCGAGCGGGACGGGGAGACGATGGAGCCGAGGGGCGGGGGAAATCCCTTTTCCATTTTTCGAACACGTGTGCAGCTCGGGAACGTGGGAGAATATTTTCAATTTTCATCGCTTGAACGGAGGCGAACAATTAATGCCCAAAATCCAGAAGATCGTATAGTTCAATAGGCAAACAATCCAGAGTATGTGAGGAGAGGGGCAGGGGGTACCCAGATAAGGAACCAAGTATCCTGAACTGTAGGCATTTAATGCGCTGTAATTTGAAATTTATCAAATTGTATGTGGAGACGGGGCGTTGCCCAAAAAAAGAGAGATCGAGATGGAGGCGGAGGTGGAAGACAAGGATCGTCGACGAAGGAGTTGCTTTTAATTTCTGTTGCTGATGGCACACAATTAGCAGGGGACCGATTCTTATTATGATGGGTAAAAAAATGTAAGAGGAGGAGCAGGATCACGAGGACATCGTTGGAGGAGCGCACGCACAGCGAGTGCCTGTCCTTTTTTGTGCGGTTCCTTCTTTTTTTGTGGATCTTTAGTGGCGCGTGAGGCGCTGAAGCCAAGGTTTCCCAGGATTTCTGTTTTTTGTTTTCTGGCTCCCTTTGGGTATCTCTGGCGTACTTAATGGATTGTCCCTTGACTTAACCATAAATATTTGGAACACGGTGTGAGTTGGGACCAATTAAGCAGGACTCATCATTGAGAAATTGTAGGCTGGCGTTAACAGTTCGTCCTGGATCTCAAATATATTGAACTGCTGTGGAGGTGATGATGATTATATGGTTGGGTTTCTTGGCTAGGTCGGTGTGGTTTGAGATCGATGAGTTTAAATCAAAGGTTGGGGAAATTGGTATAGGAATCTATACTTGAATCCTTTTATTTAAGAAATTAGAGTTCCAAACAACGAACCTATTTCCATATAAATATGATACACTTTCATTGATCCAAAACTTTTAAGTCTATATTATGGAATTACTCCTATGGCTTAAAATAAAAAATATTACAAAACCTAAAATAAAGGTGCTGCTATGGCTTTATTCATAGGAAAAAATTTCGCCTAAACAATATCGGTCTGTTGGTGTTTTAAAAAAGTTACCATAATCGAGAGTAATCTACTATAAATCCAAGTTTAAAAAAATAAACAATTTTAAAACTTAAGCTCATTATCGACCGATAACATTTTTTTCTTTAAAAACAAGTTCTCGGTATTTTTTTAAATGCGGCTAAAGTATTGATTAAGTCACTTAAAGAAGACAATAAGCTAACAAAAACGACAGAAAACAGCACCACAGTTATAAAACCATTTCTAAAAAGTCCCTCCTCTTATTAGGCTACGAATATTTTTGATTGAGAGACAGAATATTTCTATTAAATCCCTTGCGTGTTATTTCAACAAGGGCTGCCTACGATCTTTTCAATATCCTTTGCTGGATCAACAGTCCCAAATTATTGAATTACTTCTTGGAAACTGACCTTTATAGCCTTTGACTTTCATACAGTTCCTCGTATTGCTTTTGGTTGACTCATGCTACCGCATTATTCTGACTTATTATGCACGGATTGTGTCGATCTAATTGTGTTTTTGGTCCTTTATTTTTTCTGGTTGACTCATTGCCCCCAGTTTTCCTTCGCATGGATATTTTTTGTGTTCGTTGTTTTTTCTGAATTTTATTGTGTGCCCACGTGCAGGGCCAAAACAAATAAAAATAGTTAACCATTTGGATGGGAAAGGGAAACCAAAGCCCTGCTGGGGGTCCCGAAAATGTTGGCTGCCCCTGCAGTGGTTTTATTTCGGGGTTTTCGGTGACTACTGTGGTGCCTTCTTTTTCTCCTTCACTTTTCTATCTTCCAGGGAAATCTTTGGCCGAACACGTGCACTGATTTCTTATCGCAGGTCGATCATTTAAGGTTCCAAAACTGTAGATTAGCCCGACGCACACAAAAGAGGAGAAAGAGAAAAAATAGAAAAAATAAAAACAAAATCAACCTGACCCTGGCAGTCCATTGTCTGCCAGCCAAGTGTTCAAAGGGGGGTGGGAATGATCGTGTTTGTACACGTGACGACCTCGTTTCGCTCGCAGCAGGGTGTTACGGTCGAAACTGCGGCCCCGTCACGTCCCTCGATCCATCCACCTAACCATCTATCTGAAGACCATAACTATCTACGGCAACGTGAGCAACTTGCAAACGTGAACATTTCACACATGTGCGATCGGCAGCGATTGACAGCGGAAAAAGCCCACCGATCATTGAGGGCTTCCCTCCCTCCGGTCTCCGCAGGTCCAGTTACACCGGACAGGACCTTCCACACCCACGCGGACCATCCGTCCAGAGGATGTGCTAACTGCCCGAATCTGTTACGGTATTTCCGTTTACATTTTCCATGGTCAGCAGCGTGAACATCAAACGAGGCGTGCGAAAAATTCCGTTGAACGTAAAACGATCTGCACTTGAGCTGTATCGAGGGGACGAGCTACAGGGATATAGTCAGTGCCATAGTCCCATGTGCACAACAGTTAGCATAACAATAACAAGAAATCGGTAAATACATTTGAAGGAACAAAACCAACACGAATTGTTGATGACCATTGAAAAACATCAACGTTTCTTTAAGTTTTCAGCAACTTTAAAACATTTTCTTTTGTTGGCTTTATGGGTGGGGGGGAAACATATCTGCAATTTTAAATATTAAAATAGAGCCTGCTTCATTAAGCAAATATATTCAATATTTTTCCCTAAGCCTTTATGTTAATGTTGTACACCGAAAAATAAATTTTAATTGATGTTGATGTTGATGAGGCAAAAATAAAAAAAATATTTGTACGACTAGTACAGTTTTTTGTGGGGATTTCTATAATTATAATTAGTGAAAATCGTTAAAAAACTTTAAAAGTTTTTAAATAGTTTTTCAGAGTTTTTTGTAAACAAATACTTTTTGAGAAAATAACTAATATGTTTTTAAATTAAAGCATAACTTTTATAAGCTGCTTTTAAAAGTTATAATAATGATGAACTATTCCTCGAATTCTTTTACCCGATGTAGAGGATATTAACCAAACTTATTTATGAATATGATCTGGTGGACCTACGTGGCGGTTTCTTTGGTTTTGTAATGATAAAATAACACAGACACTAATCAGTGTGGCGATGCACAACACATGTGGGGTCCTTTGTATCATCGAATTACACAGAGACATTGCACTTGACACGAGACAGCGCGACATGTCTTTTAAATTTGGTTTTTATTTTTTAGTTTACAAATTAGTATGTGCGATGGTGTGTCGCATATGCGGGAGGCGAGTTCCAGGAATCCGGTGGCCATTGTCTTTGTTGGTTTAGGATATCATCAGAGTCCCGTTCCCCGATCCCCGCCCATCACTCAGCACGCACGTGCAGGGCACAAAAGGGGTCGTAATTGACGGTTTAACTCGATGGTCTCGGAACCTCCCCTGACCGAAAAAAAATACTATAACGATATGTGAGCCCTGTCCAGGGGTTCGAGGGATATGCAGATTCGATAACACCCAGCAACACGTGCAACACCACAGTGTTAAGCTGTTGATCGGGGCGTAGACAGGTCTCAGTACTTTTTGTCTCTGCCCCTCGAAGGCGTCGCTTGGCTAGGGGTTTGTCTGGACTTACAGCCCGAGGACCTCCTACTTGGACCCGGGGGACTTCAACAGTCTGCAGTGCAGGTCCCAGCTGGGTGTCTCGCACAGATCTTGTTTATATCGATCATCAGGTGGGGGAGGGTTTGCTTAATGTGTGTCTTTTACTCTTTTAATGGGGAACTATTCTAATGCACTGTTCGCCGTAAGGAGGGGTAAATATTCTTCAAATGACATGCAGGCAATACAATTGTAAACAAACAAATGTATTCACTAAAGGACTACAATTTCGACGATATTGTCCCCTTAATATGCAATATGGTTGTATTTTACCTCATTTAGTTCAACTGTTTTTTAAAATTAACCATAATCTGAGAATATTGACAAAACCAAATCTAAATCCAAAGTACCTAAAGCACTGAACTTTTGTAAATGACGTATTTATGAAATTAGTTTATTTTTCTTAAATTAAATAACAATGTATTCATAGTGAGGTATCCAAGGGCTGTAGCTATGGTCGACAAAATAATATGTTCTAATAATAATTACCTACCTGATACCAACCAAATGTATTGCAGTTTGTTATTATTTGTTTGCTTTTGTATTTTCTTATGGGTTAAGCCTCATAAGAGAATCAAAAGGTGCCACTGGTGCTAAACGGAGTATAAACATTTTTGATTTTAATTAAAGAGATATCTTTAAAACTATCTCTCTGGTGGTATTCAACGAAATTGTCTATCTGAAAATTAATTTCGAAATGCGATTTAAAGTTTGCTAAGTTTCAAATTAATAAGTAAAAAATATTTAGTTTTATGTTTCTTGTATTTTATTACTATTAAAGCTGTTGTTGTATTCTCTTACAAACTAAATCTTAATAAACTAGTAAAGCTTGAGGTATGCTTATAATCTAGGTAAAGCTGTTATCACAGTATTAACGATTCAATTGGAAGACATGATTCGTTGTAGCAAAAATTGCTGATGGAAGACATGATTCGATGTTGCTGCCGATTTTGCAGATGGAAGACAGGATTCAAAGTCGCTGCTGATGATGAAGTGGCACGACCAATTACCAGGGACGCCACATGGTATCTTGAGCTGGCTTCGGGCTGGCGGCAGATTCGGATTCCTCGGCATCGCTGTGATATCCCGAGGAGGCGGGGCTGAGTGGGCGTGGGGCGGAGATCTGGGTGGAGGGCTGGTCGGCCTGATCGGCCTGCAGCATGCGCTGGAACTCCACTCCCAGGTGTGTCATCACCGTCTTGCCCACATCCACACTCATGGCCGGAGTGCAGGCCATCACACGGGAGATTTCGCTGACGGCGTTCATGTAGCCATTCTTGAAGCTATCCATCGGGAGTGGGGCAACCGGCGCCTGCTGCTCGACGACCTGTTTGCGCATGAAGACAAGTGCCGCCTCCAGCATCTCGGCCTTGTCCATTCGCAGGATGGCATCGTCGCCCTGGAACTCGGCCACCAGGGTCTTCAATGTGTCCAAACACTTGTTCATGCGGGCCCGCCGCTGGCGCTCCAAAAGGGGCTTCTTCACCTTCAAATAGTGCTGGGTCTTCGAGACGAATGTGGACTGGTTGCTGGTCTGTGGTGCCATTTTGTGAGTTTCTGTAGTAGTTCTGTAGAAGTGAGCTGAGCTGAACTGTACTGCTTGCAGGATGCTGCTCGAATGATGCTGGATTCCTCGACTGCACTGGGTTTTATACCCGCAGCAGCCGCAGCAGAGGAGAAGGTCCTTTCTGGAGGACCTGCTACCTGCGATCCCACCGTAGAGATCTGTAAATCTCATTGCTGTGCGTGCGTGGGAAAGGAAACTGAAATCGTTGTGCAAAGAATGACTGTTCGGGCTGCTTTTCTTTGGGCCCCTTTATGCGTTTTATTCCTTTCAATTGTCTAGCCAAGGAGTGTGGGTCCTGGCGACGCTTTGTAACTGCAATTAAACCGTAAAATGCTGGCCAAGACGTGAGAACGTGGTACACGGAATTGGTACCAATTGTCTGCGACAAACTGATTCGGTTTGGGCCAGCAAATGAAAATCAAACTCGGTAAAATTGTAATTGTCTTGTTGTGGCTTACTGTTCTTTGGCTCGTTGAGAGAAAAGTGGGAGGATCGTTTATATCCTGAACATGGGATCATTGCCAGTAGCTGGTCAAATATGGTTTTTTTATCAAATACTTTTTGTATTGGTCCTAAATTTTTTAGCATACCTATTATTAAAAAATGTATTTAATGCCTTAATGTTTTATATGAAACTATCACAAAATCGTACATTAATGTTATGAATATTTTGTTGTGCTTAGAAGTCATATTTTGTTCACAATAAACCAATTTACTAAGAAGGTTTAGGAACCAAAGCAAATTTTATTTGTGAAAGGATAATTTTGATTAACTGTTGAGTACCCCATAAAAAAATACTTAAATCCTTTCCAATTTAAAGAATCTATATCAGCCTATTACAACAATTTTAATGCCCCACTTATTGCAAACAAGCACTTAAATACATTTTCTAGTCTCAGTTTTTTGGGACCCGCTTCCCAAATCACTTGCTTCCCCATAAATCTTAGCCGAATGTTAGGTCCCATCAACCCTTAGAGCTAACCCCAATCCCTATCCCAGATCCAATTCGAATCCCGAGAAAGTGGCAGTCACCGTTGTTGAGGTCTTGAGGGGTCTTTTCGGTTTGTTTTGCTCGATTTTCATATCGTGAGAACCGCTCGAGACGCGTCGTGTGTTTCCCACGCGATGTGCACACCTGCCATTTAAGACGCTTATATGGTTACGATTACAGGCACGGATACACGGAAAGAAGCCGGTACACAGATACTCCATACAGACAACCACTTGGCTGTTAATACACAGAAGCAACAAAAACCAGATGAGGGCACACATTTATCTGTCGGCACACATTTATTGCGCCGGCGCGACGCTTATTATCAGCCCAAGTAGCGATCGTCGTGTGACTGACTGCCGACTGCCTGATGGACTGACGGATTGACTAACTGCCCGACTCACTGACTGACTGACGGATTGACTAACAGCTCGACTGACTGACTGACTGACGGACGTACCGACTGATTACTGCCTGCTTTACTTTAGTTTTTCACTCTTGTCGCCGTCATTGACGATTGTTTAATTTAAATTGCCGGCTACCAGACGGCGGGCTTAATGATTATGGCCAGGCCGTCAGAGTTTCCAAGTTCCGAGGAACTTGTACGCAATAGTTATTTGTACTTTACGACATGGGCTAATTGAACGAACGCACCCGCAGAAGAAGTTTAACGAGCAGTCTGTCATTGATAGTGGTGGAGTGGTTGGCTTGTCAATGGGCAATCAAATCATTAATGTCTTCAAGGTGAGTGAGAATCCCCAGTAGCCAACTGACAGCCTCTGGATGGATATCAATGATCCAATCCTTTGAGGGATTTATGCCCGATCACCAGTTGGTTTGTCAGGTAAATGTCGCTGGCAAATGTTTGCACAGCCATAAATTAGCCGGACGATAAGTGGACAATTGTTGAGAGACATAAGCACTGAGCCCACAATCCGAGGGATGGTTAGAATAACTCAGAGTTAGCTTCGAGAAGAATGGTCACTTCCTGGTGTTAATGCCATTGTTCTGGCCTTAAATACATTCATGGGAAAAATAGTCAAGATGGAAGAGGGAACATCTTTTGCACTTTCCCTTTTTTCGATCAAACAAGAACTGGGATGAACTTTTATAATATTATAGTTTCTGAGAAGAATTATATATTAATATATATATTTATTTAACAGATAATGCTAAAAAAATTAATTTGCTCCAAGGGTTTATTAATCTTTTATTATATCTAAAGAAAGTAAATATGAATAATTTTATTAAGACAATTGGCTTGAAAAACATAAACTTAATTGAACATTGATATCAAGTTTGTTAAAATTAAAAAAAATTAATTTATTTTTTTTTACATGATACGATAAGTGTACTTTAAATAAATCAAATTGACCAGCCTCATATCGACATGACTGTTTTGAAAATAGTTTCTTTAAATTTTTCTGGTTGTTTCTTATCATGATATCCCTTTCAATTTTTCCAACAAGCTATATCACCCTTGCACTTATCTCACCATATCAACTCAATCCAATTTATCAGCTAAAACATTTAATATTAAACACCATTGACTCCTTGAAAGCAATCAACCTCGAACCCACTTTGCTCGCAGCTCGTGCCATGAAACAACCCCCATGCGAAACTCACAGTCCGATTCTCGGCCCACAGACAACAAACACTCCAAATTATAAGCCCATATAAGTTGAATTAAAACTCTATCATTGCGCCACCACAAATGAAAGCACCTTGCTCTGGCGAGGATTTAAATTGCGGCGGTGCTCCAAACACGTGACCGACCCGCGTCCCAATCAGAGGAGCAGCACGCCACGCGTTCGGCCAACCGCTGAGCTTTCCAGGCCCAGGCCCAAAAGCAAACATCAATTTGGTGGCAAGCGATTGGGAGGCAAACGCGTGACCCAACGGCGGGCGAAGCAATTAACCAAAGTTGAACCAACTCTGCAGCAGCAGCAGCAGCAGCAAGTGCAATATGTGTCAAAAGGGGCAACAACAGCAACAGCAACATCAACGGCAACAAGGAACAACAACCACCAAGGCAATGAAATGAGCGGGGCTGTGGCCTAAATTGCAAACAGCTGCCACTCGAACCGTGGGATACTTTTTCCCCTAGCCTCAAAAAATCGAGATATGCGCTAAGGATAGGGGAAGGAAGGCCCTTGTGCTGTCGAACCTTATCCATGGGAACCACAACTGCTCAACGCTCTCAATATTTATTCTGTATTGAAACAGGAAAAAAAATGAGGATGGTTGAAAAAAAACAGGGACGACCGGAGTGGAGGAAAAAACGAGATTATCCTGCACGTGTTGAGCTTGCTGCGGCGTTCCTTGCGCTAAAAGCGTGGCAGGCGAACGTTGGGTTGATATTTCAGATGAGGTTGCTGCTGCTCCTGCGCGGAGTTTGCACATGTGTCGTGCACATGTGGCACTTGTTGTTTTGGGTGGTTGGACTTTTGGGTGGTGGTTATCTGCCTGGGTTGCGTTGCCCTATAAAAGCGCGACACTTGCTGTCAGCCCACAACAGTTGCAATTTGAAAGTCAACGCGTAAAGAACTCTAATCAGAAAAGTGCATTTTCTACATCCACCCAGAACCATGTCGAAAGTTAAGAACTTATTAGCCAAAATGATGCAGCGTTTTGCCAAAAACAGCTCACATAACGATAGTCAACGGTACGATAGTCTGGAGGAGATTGCCCAAAATCAGGCCAACGAGAGGATGCTGAGAGAAACTCAGACGGGAACGGAGGAGCACCTGGTCATCTGCTTGGAGACTGCTGCCGGTAGCTTTTATTGGCACTCGCAGTAGTAACAAACGCAGGAGCAACAGCAAAATCACCTGCATCAGCAGCAATCTAAAGAGAATCATTGCTGAGAACCAAAACATCAGCTTTAGAAATTGCTACCTTGTCAACAACTGCAATTATAGTGAAGACAGAAGCAACAACAGCAACCAATTTAATTGCAATTGGAAGAAAGACAGCAGATTTTCCTCAGAAGATGCAGCATAGCAGGAAAAACTACACTTAATATTGCCATGTCAACAACAACTTGTCAAAAAGCCGAAAATCCAGCAGCAACATAATGGAGTATTAAAGGAGCAACCACAGTGGCAACACCACATTATAAATACAGAAGCAACAACAGAAACTGCAATTATTATTGCAATGCCAACAGCAACTATAATTGCAAGAACCAAAAACGGCAACTAAACCTGCAGCAACACCTCAAAAAGCCGAAAACTCAAGAGCATTATCAACAGCAGCAAAAATAGCGAACCCTAAACCAACCGCAGAATCAACTTGGCCAATAAAAACTATAATCGCTTGTTAAAAAGCGAGAAACTAGCCACAAAAACAGTAGCAGCCACATAAACTATAACAATCTTTAACATCTCAAGAAATCAAAACATCGATGACAACAACAGGCAGTCACCACAACAATCCCAAGACAACAGCAGCATCATAAGCCAAAGCACCAACAACATGGGCCAAAAACCGGTAGATGCGACCAAAACGACTGAACGGATGAATGAATAATACAAAACATATCATTCGGTGAATGAATGGAGCTGTCGAGCGATCGTGCGAATTGTGTTGCGTGCCAGCAACAAGTATCCATATCCAACTAGTCTTAAGGATGCAACTCAGACATCCTCTCTAGTTGGAGATCCTCGATGGGTGCCAATAATAAACATAAAATACATTTGTGATATGAACTCAAGCTAGTTAGTGTAAAATAAATGTTATTAGTTTATAAGAAATAAAAAAATAAAGTAATTAAATTGAAACTATATCTGTTTGCTATTTGGGTAATTGTGTTGTTCGTGCTTGGAGGAAAACCAACCCAATTGGATTGTGATTAAAGGGCAAATTACTAAGCTGTTGTCTTCTTCAAATCTTTTAGGCCGCTTATTAAAAATCACTTGTAAATTTATTAAACAAACTTTAATTAGATCTATTGTTAGCTCTAAAAAATTACCTTCGAATATTAACTGATTGCTTGTTTGTTATTGATGAAAAATCTCATTTGTTGCGGAAGGTCTTTGAAATTTGGTAATACCAAACGTTACCGAAACCTCACTGAAATATCTAAAACAACTATTTGACAACCGAAAGATTAATGAACTGTATTATTCAGTTTTTTAGTATATTAAAATTAATCTAATCCAATAACGTAACCATTAACTAATTTGTTTTCAGAATTTTTTTACACAACCAAATGGTTTTGAAGTCCAATTAAAAGCATGTCTTTTATTTTAACTTTCACAAAAAATCATCATAACTTTTGTGTGTTCCTTTTAAAAATCTTAAGAATTCAAATGCAAATCAAATCTAAGCCCCCATTGAGCTGACTATATCCCCATATCCGGGCATCAACGCTAATCGCAGCAAATGATAATCACCGCCCTGTCATTCCACACAAAATGGTAATTTCCTGCCGCCGATTCGCAAGCTCCAGGCTTAAAAAAATTCAACCATTTTTTTTTGCATTTCATTCGATTTTATTGCGAATGCGTGGCGCGCAGCAAGCTTCTGTTGGGGCCCTTTAGCTTTTGTTTTTTTGCTGCTGCTGCTGCTCGCGTCTGTCGCGCGTTTGGCGTGCCAAGCATGCGCACACATATTCAATTACACGGCAGCAACATCGGCAACCCAGCAGCAACATCCACGGCACAGCAGCAACACCAGCGATTATAGCGATGCATTGACAATAAGCCAACCCCGTTGCATGCCCAAATGGTTGCCCCTATTTAATAAAAAAAAGGAAAAAACAACAACAGAGAGCTGGCCATGTGCAGCTCGAAAAATTTTCTCACAGTCGCCAGAAAATTGTAACGGCTTGTTGTTCAGCACACTCTCAGCACGCAGCGCACACACACTTCCTGCCAGAGCAGCAACAACAACAACAACTACAGCATCGCTGCTGTTCTTCAAACCGGCCACGTATATTGTTTATATAGTTAACGAATGCGATACATTTAATCTTTAGTGTGTGTCAATTTGCCGTACAGTCATTTAGTTTGCATGTCCCTCGTCGATCCATCGAACCATCCCTTTTCTGGGTCCCACGATGATGATGTCCCGACGTGAGCAGGAATACCATACGCGTATATGTATGCCACTTAGCGCAGTACGATCCTATCCGATCCCTGGACCCAAGTGTTCAACAGAAGCTACAATTCAGCATTCATAATTGACAACAGCAGGAGCGAGGGAGAGGGCAGCTATAGGGCCCACGATGGACAAGAAAAAATTAAATAAAATAAAGGGCAGGTGGTAGTTTTTTCAGTACTACCCGTGACTCGCACAAGCAGCTCGGTCAGATTTACAGTGGTTCAAATGGAATTTAACATCGGTTCGAAACTGTTAAGGGGTGACTTTAATTTTGTCTTACAAATATTTGTATTTCTTTTTTAAATAACTACATAAAAACTTTTAGAACTTAAAACCATTTTTAATTGCCAACAATGAAATATTTGTATTTTTAATTTTTGTCAGCTTCCCATTTCTTAACCTTTACAAAAATACAAAAATGTACGATTTCTCAGAGTTAACCAGCAAGGAACACCTTCCACTAAAGGTCCTATGTTTCACACATCTGTGCACAGAAAACCCGTCAAATGGTGAGTTGGTCAAATTATGACGCCTCAACATGCACGGACTTTAAATGTTTCCAAAAATTCAGGTTCCCACGCACCGTCACAGCCGCCGAAAACTATCCACGGCAAGTAGAGGTCCGGCCACGGTAATTCGTAAAGTACAAAGTACTACGCATGAAACACCTTCCGTAAAAGTCCCTAGAAATTTACAACTTCCCATAAAGTCGGACTTCCATGCATCGGTTAGTTTCAGAAATTAACCGTAGCAAGTAGAAATCAGGCACCGAAAAATCCGTAAGGTACAGAGTTAAAAACCTGCATAGAGACCTTTTACAAAGTCCTAAAATTGCACACAACATGGAAAAACCAAGGAACCGGATACGGAAAATTCACATTCTCACGATCTTTAAAGGAAGTTTCTTAAATTAACCGTAGCAAGTTATGGACTGGACCCGAAAAATCCGTAAGGTAAGGCTGTAAGAAAAGTCCTACAATTTTAAAACCTAGAAACTAACAATTACGATTTGGAAAACCCTATTGCCTTCATCCCGAAACACACGTTCCCACGACCTTTTGAAGTATTTCAAAAAAAATATCCCTAGCAAGTAGATAACAAGATGCGTAAAATCCGTAGTCCTAAATTTTCAACTAGGTGGAAAATCCTGAAAAACTTCATTCAACCAACCACGCACAAAAATTCCCGCCTGTGTTTCATCTGTTCGACCCACTGTGCCATGTGCATAAGGGCTCAAAACTCGGAGCTCGGAACTCGGGACTCGCACTACCTCCGATTATAACTTATAACACCAACGAGCGAGAAAAATCTTGTGGGAAACTTGAGGGCAAAGTGTTTCCCACGATTCGAATGTCAGTGGAAAGGAAAACAGAGAAGCAGCATGTGCAACCACCGTCGCACCACCACCACTGCACCATCGCATCTTCATCCCCTGCCAAGACTCACTTACAGCAAACACAGTTGGGATCACAACAATACGACTGGAAATGGTTTTTAAAGATCTTTAGGTTTTTGGATTTTAGTAATATAGTTTATTATACTGAAATTGTTGTGAAATTTTTTTTAAAACTTACACAATATTTAATTCTATGAGTAAAGAATATTTCATCTGATTAAAATAGTCCTTAGCATATTAAACATATCAATTCTGCAATTCTAAAAATATATATTTTTGTGAAATAGTTTGAGGCTGGGCCGAGTAATGTAAAGAACTTTTGTATGGAATATTAAGACTAAAAGATTTATTAAATTTAAAAATGCGTTCAGTAACTTTATGAACTTAACTTTAAAATATTTAACACGATTCGCTTAGAAACATTTTACAATCACCTTAACACCTTAAGGAAATTATAATATTTTTGCGAGCCCATATTATACTGACCCTAGCTGTGTTCCAAACTTGTTTGTAGAGAAAAACCCACCACCGAAAATGCAGGCGAGAGGATCGTGTCCCAGTGACTGAGTGAGAGTAGTTTGCTCGGCAGGTGGTGGTTCTGGCTCTCCAGAGGCTTCGCTGCGCTCTTTTCTCTCTTTCTCCAGGCAGCGTGCGCTGAGCACGAGACGCTCTCGCAACGGCACGTGCAGCTATAAAAGCAGCGGTAACCGGAGACGTTGGCAACATTTCCAACGCAATCGTGGTGCAGGCAACATCTCAGTTCTTATTCCACTGAAGGATCGAGAAGAAGTTCTTCTTGGACAACAAGTCATTTTAAAAGTTACCAAAACCCACATAACATTAAACACAATGGCCACCAAATACGAGATGTCCAAGACCTACCAGTACCGCAAGGTGATGAAGCCTTTGCTGGAGCGCAAGCGTCGTGCCAGGATCAACAAGTGCCTGGACGAACTCAAAGACCTGATGGCCGAGTGTGTTTCCCAGACAGGCGATGCCAAATTCGAGAAGGCCGACATTCTGGAGGTCACCGTGCAGCACCTCCGCAAGCTTAAGGAGTCGAAGAAGCAGGTTCCCGCCAATCCCGAGCAGAGTTTCCGTGCTGGCTACATCCGGGCAGCCAACGAAGTGTCCCGTGCTCTGGCCTCCCTTCCCCGAGTGGATGTAGCCTTTGGAACCACCCTGATGACCCACCTGGGCATGCGTCTCAACCAACTGGAACAGCCCATGGAACAATCGCAGGCCGTCAACACCCCACTCAGCATCATCTGCGGATCGAACTCCAACTCCAGTTCCTGCTCCAGTGCCAGCTCCTGCTCCTCCATCAGCCCCGTTTCCAGTGGCTATGCCAGCGACAACGAATCCCTGCTCCAGATCAGCAGCCCCGGTCAGGTGTGGCGTCCCTGGTAAAGACCAGATTTAAAACATCCCAGAACTGAATCGCCGTCGGGCAATCGCGCAATTGGAAACGCAGCTTTAGAAAATGCTTTAAAATGATCCTCATTTATTTGTTACGTTACCACGTTTTAGGTTTCTAAGTTAAGTCTGTGATAGGGACGCTTTATTAACTTTTGTCTTAACTCAATCGAGCAGAAGTCTGTTTTTTACTCTAAATATATACAAATGTTAACCAGCTAAGAGATCTCAAGAATACAACACGAAAAAAATACAAAATGAAAAGAAATACAAAACAAACGAAACGAAATTTAACCACCGACTTCTTATTTGGGGTATTCTTACTTTACAGCTCTCTCTTATTGGATTCATTGGCATTATTTGTACTTAAATATTTTCTACCTACCACAGGATGTTCTTCAAATAAACCATTATGTTCTATGGTCAAAAAAACTTAATGTGTACTATTTACACGTATTCATAAACATAAATATAGTGTGCATAAGCTTATTGAATACATGTTTAAATTAATGGACTTTTTATAAATTATGTTCATTAAATGAAACCCCATCATTATTTTAAAGAGCAAAGTTAATAACCAGATCCAATTACAAGTTCAATGTAATAAGGAAACCAAAGTAAACATTAAATAATCTTGCATTACTATAATATATATAAGCATAATGTTATATAGGCCATTTTAAAACTTGCTTCTTTTAAAGATCTTTGAATTACACTTTAAAAAACAGTTTGCTTATTAATCTGAGCATTATTAAACATTAATCTTAAATAAATCCATTAACGAACTGCAGCTATTATATTCTTTACACCGTATTATATTTTTTTGACCATGAAACTATTTTAATTATCTAAAACAGTCAATAAGGGGGTTCAAGGTAAGTCGGCACACTTATAAACTACTAATCGATAATGAGGTCTATTATATTTGTCCTATATCAAAGGCCTGCGAACCCCTCTTAGTATTTTCGTTGGAATTAATCAAACACCTATTGGGAATTGCAAGGGAGGTACAAGCATTTAACGTCTTGTTCACCGCTTATTCTCAAAATGAGCACCCCTGTTCATTACAATAATGAATGAAATGTCATATCATTACCTAATAAATGTTAGTCTTAAGGTATCTCAAGATTTTTGCTCATCCCCTCTTCATTTTAATTTATCGTCAAAGTATCACCATCTTTTGGGGGTTGAAAGGGAGGGATACAAATCCGATAGGTAGACATTGTAATTATTAATGCTAAGCTCCTGTACCATTTAACATCTTATTAGCCTTTGACCCTTAAATACTCTAAGAAGTGTGCAATTGATCACTTAATAAATGTCTCCCTGGCCCAATAAGTTTTCCAAATTGGGTGTTCCCAAATGGCACAATCCTATGTTACACTCTTTAAACCATATTAATGTAAAGCACTTACTGCAAATCAATTCCAATAAAATAATAAATATTACAATAAAATATAAAAAATATTAATATAATTCTACTCTTACATATTTTCTTTTGAAAGAGTCATTCCATCAATATTACCTCGGCAGTATTCTTCTTTTAATCTTATTATTATTAAACTCCCAAAAATGTTTAATAGGTGTGAACATTATTTAGCCAACTCAATCTTTCTACCTATTAAATGCCAATTGGGAGGGTAACAGGGAGTTCACTACATTCCATAGGCTGGCATTCCGGCACAGGGCTCACCCGGGCAATAAGTACTCAACCTCAGCCACGAGTCGAGCATGCGGGGCACACTTTCTGCGCCCGTTTGACCCACGTCCCCCTGCCAAGCAACCACAACCACCCATCGTAAACCAAACAACGATCGAACAACCAAGGCGACCCGGCACGAAGCCAATATGCCACATCCACTAATTGTGTCCAATAAACACTCGGCGACGGGGCAGTGTGGGAACGGAAAGAGGAGATCTCCAGTTCGGAGATCGGGACAGGAGTAGGGGCATTATGCCATCATCGTCTGCAGGCATTGATGAAACAATAAGCGAGTAGATGGCACGGCAGGATAACAATGCCAGAGCAGCCCACGCACAACCAGATCCCCACCTCCTCCTCTTCCCGATCCCATGTACCCATGTATGAACCAACTACCCATTCCAAGCGACAGGATGAGGCAGTGAAGTATGCATTAAGGATAATAACACCGGCCCAAAAAGCAATGCGAACAGCCAAAAACAGCGACAGCTGCAAAAATGAGCCCTGATCCTTAAACTCGAAAAAAAATGAGAAGCGGAGCGGAGCGAAGCATGTGGCCAAAAGGGAAAACAAACGAGAAAAAATTGTGTGAGAAACTTACTTTCAGCTCGGTTCCCACGCCACGAGCCACAAGGATTGTCCTCCGTCCTCCGAAGTTGCAGCTGTTCCTTGCAAAAGAGACGGCATGTTCAGGACTTTGCCATGCGCGTGAAAGAGAGGGCAGAAAAGGTGCGTACCAGAGGGTGGATTTCAGGGCCCAGGGAGCCGTATAAAAGAGCAGGGTTCGTCAGAGCTGAATATCACTCACGATTCCGCCATCGAGCAGGCAACAACCAGCCAAAAAAGAACAAAATTTAAACAATTTTTTAAAAATTCTTTAAATCTACGTAAACGTAAATACCCAACTCAAAAATGGAATACACGAGCAAGACCCAGATCTACCAGAAGGTGAAGAAGCCCCTGTTGGAGCGTCAGCGACGGGCCCGCATGAACAAGTGCCTGGACAACCTGAAAACACTTGTCGCCGAACTCCGAGGTGATGATGGCATCCTGCGGATGGACAAGGCCGAGATGCTCGAGTCGGCGGTGGTCTTCATGCGCCAGCAAAAGAACCCAAAGAAGGTGGTTCAGGAAGAGACCGCCCTGCCCCTGGACAGCTTCAAGAATGGCTACATGAATGCCGTCAACGAGGTGTCACGTGTCATGGCCTCCACACCTGGCATGAGCGTCGACCTGGGCAAATCGGTGATGACTCACCTGGGCCGCATCTACAAGAACCTGCAGCAATTCCATGAGGCACAGAGCGCCCAGAATTCCCTCCAGATCTCCATGGACTGCTGCTCGTTGGACAAGGCGCCCCTCAGCCCCGCCTCCTCTGGATATCACAGCGACTGCGACAGCCCCGCCCCCTCACCACAGCCCATGGAACAGCAGCAGCCCCTGTGGCGCCCCTGGTAAAAGGGATTAAGTGGCATGAAGGTGGAGTGGCAGGACCAACCAACAACGCATCTGTGATAGCCCAACTGTGATGGCAACAAAATAGCAAATTGAAAAACCACTAGCAGAACAAATATAAACCAATTTTAAACGAAAATCAAAGCTTACTTATTTGGGTTTTTGTGAGGGGGAAATTTACCTTTCAGCCTTTCTTTCAGCACTCTAGTTGGCAATTGAAACTCATCTTCCAATTAGATAAATAAAAATTTATCGCAGAAAAAACTTTTCAACAGGCTAATTCTAATTTTGTTCATGACGTATTTTTAATAATGAACTACTTTTTATATATTTTTCGGTTGTGACATTTTTTTTAATGAATAAATGTATTTTATTTTTTTATTTTTGTTTATAAACAAAAAAATTCTATTGGTCATAACGGCCTAAGCACACGATTTTCATAAATTCGAAAGACGAGCGCCAAATACAAATTGAAAACAGATACCGTGATAAGCAAATTGGTTGTTATTTTTAAATCTGTAAATTTATATTTTTATAAAAAAATATTTAAAATTTTTAAAAAAAATCCTTTCCTAACATTTATACAATTCTTTTTCTTTCAATATATGTCTAATAATTAAAATTTATATATTTTTTCACTAATTGTTAAGATTGTAAGATTTTGAAGTCGATATAGACATTTAAGTTTTCAGCGCGCAAGTTTGTTATTCAAATATCTGTATCCCTAATCACATGTGAAGAGCAAGATGTATATAAGCATTATAATTTTTTTGATTTCCATGTTGGTGGTGACCCAGAAAATCTATGATGGTAGTTAAGCAATAAGTTTTTAGCCAGCATACAAAACACTAAATTTTGGGCAGTGTAACTAGTTCGATTACACGTGCAATACAGAAACTTTGTAACACTGGCGCACGCAACCCTGCGCCGAAAAAAACGAGTGGCCCGATATCAGCCCCGGACATATCGATAAGCGATAGCGAAAATTGCATACCTGAGACCGACGCGGTCTGTGTGTCGCGGATAGGAAAATAGGAAATTATAAATAGAAACGGGCAGTGCCGATGCCCCAAAAGCCCCCTAATTGCCAGCTGACCCCAACGGCGAGGATATCGAGTGCTACCGAGGTGAAAATCGGCGTGCAAAATTTGTTGCAAAAATATATTGAGGCGAGAACGCCATTTACAAGCCGCGTTTGTACAGCGAGTGCGCGTGTAGTAGAGCCGGAGAGAGAGCGTGTGTGTGTGTGCGTGAGAGCAAAAGAGCGCCGCCGCCAAAGCTGCCCAACACATACACGAATGTCAGACACTTCGCGGTCGGTCGGCAGAAACGGCAATTTTATACGGGCGAAAAGTTAAAAAATAATTTACCCACTTTTCGGTGGCAAAATCCCGATATACTTCTAAAATCAGAAGAGTGCTGGCAGAGAAAAAGAGCAAATGCGGGCGATAAAACGTGCTAATCCGGGGGCATAAAACTCGTACGGCCATTATCTCGCTTTTTTTAATTGCTTTTGTTTATTTTTTGTATAGGACACAGTATAATTTTTCTTTTGCGCCTCCCGCGTGTGTGTGTGATTTAGCCACTCGCTGGTTTCTATGTATGTGCCCGTATCTAAAGAACAGAGTTGCCGCCTGACGCGCAGAGTACGAAAATCACATTGCTTACATATTTAAATAAATATTATAAGGTTTAAATCAGTGCCAGATAATCAAACAAAACTGTGAAATAGTAAACAATGTTTTTAATAGAAAGTTATGAAAAGTTGTTAAGCTGTTGGGAGTATTTCGGCCATCATGGCAACCCTGTTTAATTGCAGTCTGTCTGTATATGTTCGCATGTTGTTTGTGCGGAGTGTGCTGTTTTTACGAAAGAAAAGTGTAATATTTTCCCTTAATAAATCCCCTCCATTTCAACTTAACAACTGGAATAGTGGCCACGGAGGCCCCCGAAAATCGAACAGTGATTTTGCGTAACAATTTCTGGGCCACATGCAACTGTGCGCTTGATTTTTCGGCGGTAAACACTCACACTCGTACCCTCGCTCCCGTTTCCTGCGCTAGTGTGCGTGTGTCTCGCTGGCTCCGCGTGCCTGTGTGTGTGTATGTACGTGCGTGCGAACATATCGAAAAAAATGGTGCAAAAATATGAAAAAGCATAACTAAGCAAATATGTTCTAAAATTCCATTCGCAGGATATGCAAAATGCGAAGTAGCCCACTCATGGAGTGCCACTAAGTGCCGGTTCCGCCTGCGGAAAAAATAATATAAAATTGAAACTGCCATCGAAAATATAAGAAAAGAAGAAAAAAACAAGAGTCATAAAACTCTGGCAAAAAGAATACACATATAGTCATCGTTTAAGAGGAGTTTCCAAGTAGAGTGGAGTGTTCAAAGATAACCGGAAGGAAGAGGAGCAGAAGGACTTCCGCTCCGGGAAATCGGTGTCCACCTCGGAACTATCGCTATTGTTCTAGCCGGCAACATACCAGCCTAACAACAACATGTATCCCTCACCGGTGCGCCACCCCGCCGCCGGGGTAAGTTCACCAGACCCGACGGGTCCAATCTCTGGCCCCCAAATCTGTGCTAATTGTGTTTCTGTCTCTATCTACCCCGCCGCCTTGCCATGTGCCGCCCACACTATTGACCCGCCACCCATCAACACTTTCGCAGGGACCACCTCCTCAGGGTCCAATCAAGTTCACCATCGCCGACACACTGGAACGCATCAAGGAGGAATTCAACTTCCTGCAGGCGCAGTACCACAGGCAAGTATTGAAAGGACACCACAGTGAATGCTACCTAAAAAAAAAGCATCACGTGCTTTCATTTTCTGTTTTCAAAACACGCTAAATTTTATTTATGATTTTATACCTTTGCAAATTTAAGGATAACTTAAAAAAGTAGAATTAAAAACCCACAAGTTATTCATGTTTAGAGTCAGATTGATACTTAATATGAAAGGTTATAAGCCCTTAAAGTCAAAGAAATTATAAGTTCATGTTCATGTAAGAAATATAAAATCATTCAAACGTTTTACCAAAAATGTAGATAAGACTTTTAATTAAAGAATTCAATTCAATGGAACCGAAAATTTTATGATTCGTTTCTCCACGAAATTTGATTAAAAACAAGGCAGATAAACATTGAAATGTTCAAAGACAAGTGGTTACCATACACATATTGTTTTTATTAGAGCTATTATTTTCAAGAACGTAGGGCTTAATCTGGTTGAGGTTAAACGAAAACTATTAGAAACTTCTACAATAACATGCCCTAAAGAACTCACATTTTAAAGCCTTCGCTGTACCGCCATCGTATGGGAGTGTACTTGTGTGAGTGTGGATGCTGCGTCTGCGTTTTGCGAAAAGTAAAACAAAAAGCTGAGCAAACCGGTTTGGCGCGCCATATGCGCCGCTGTCATAGGATTAACCTGCGCCGCCTCAGCCGCAGCTCCACGCTCCACAATCGCCGCTTCCTTGCGTTCTGTTCGCTTCCGTCGCCCAACTAATTTGCCCGTTGATCACTTTTCCTGTGAATTCCAGCATCAAATTGGAGTGCGAGAAGCTGTCGAACGAGAAGACGGAGATGCAGCGCCATTATGTTATGGTAAGTCGGCATGATCCGCAAATTATCGAAGTCCCTTTAGCTAATGCCTTGCCTTGCTATCTGCAGTACTACGAGATGTCCTATGGCCTTAACGTGGAGATGCACAAGCAGACGGAGATCGCCAAGCGTCTGAACACACTGATCAACCAGCTACTTCCATTCCTTCAGGCCGACCACCAGCAGCAAGTGCTGCAGGCAGTGGAGCGGGCGAAGCAGGTGACGATGCAGGAGCTCAACCTGATCATTGGGGTAAGTGGATCGAGGTCGGACGATGGATCCCGCGGCAACAGCAGCAGCAACACGGGCATTGCCGGTTGAACTATTTTCAGCTAGAGTCAAGCAGGGAGTAGGGCGGATTGAGTACTTGGTTGCCACTTAAAGAAGTTCAAAGCAGACGAAATTATTTTAAAACTTTAAAACTAGTAAAAATCCACATTTATTTTATTGCCCAGTCTTGGGTTATAGTTTTATAAATTATAATGAAACAAAGTTAGGTTTAATATAAATTATTAATTCAATGAGTAAATAACAAAAAAATTATGGCAATGAACTTAATAGAGTAATAATGGTTTTTAAAGAAGACACGTAATAAGTACCACCTTACTCAATTTTGATCAATTTCTTTTATGCAGAAAAACCAAATTTTTAATTTCTAGAGATGTTAACGACTTCCCTAAACAATATTAAAGTAAATATCATACAAAGTGGCAACAGTGTGTGGGGTATATCCTTTCAGTTCAGTTTGTTCTTTGGGCTACCTTTGATTTGAGTTTGTTTTTCTACTTCCTAATTTGTTATGATTTCGCATTCGACCAATCCAATCCAAACACAACGTTGTGCAGCATCAGCAGCAACATGGAATACAGCAACTTTTAGTAAGTTTGTTTCGTTGCAAGTTCATTTTCTTATTGTTTGTTTACTGTTGCCGTCTGCCGCTGCATCCGCCGAATGTGCCACCGCCACAACTACAACTACAGCTTAAATTGTCTCATTCCCTCTTGTTCCTTCTCTGATTGTCCATATTTATTTTGTTTTAATAACGCTTCATACGCCGCCGAATTGTTGTTGCTGTTCTTATTAACTCTATATGGTCTTAAGTTGTTAGAGAGATGTTCAATACTTACATACCTACTTCATTCTGTAACAGCATTTACAAAATGTAATTGAATGATTAGAGAAACTCTGAGTTATAAGAAGTAACTTGGTTATTTGTTCCACCTTATTAAGTTTAATGGATAATTAATTACAAATTAAAGAACATGAAATCGATCTATTGTATATATTTATTTGAGGTATATGATTTTAAGTCAGAGGTTTGAAGTGGTTGCTATGTATATAAACCCAACATTATAATACTTTGCGGCAAAGACCATTTAGTGTTAATGTCGTTGTTGTGTTTACACACATACACACATTCCAATGCTTTCATTTTCTCACAAAGCACGATGTTAATTTTGAAAGCCACCATCGCCCACGACCGATTTCATGCGATTTCATGGTTCCATTGCAGCAACAGATCCACGCCCAGCAGGTGCCGGGCGGACCGCCACAGCCGATGGGTGCACTGAATCCATTTGGCGCCCTGGGCGCCACCATGGGCCTGCCACACGGACCACAAGGTCTTCTGAACAAACCGCCCGAACACCACAGGCCGGACATCAAGCCAACGGGTCTGGAAGGGCCAGCAGCCGCCGAGGAGCGATTGGTGAGTACCCCCCAAGTCATAATTCTGCATAATTGGAGCTCATTTTAATGCTGATGTTGCAGCGCAATTCGGTTTCGCCGGCCGATCGTGAGAAGTACCGCACACGCTCGCCGCTGGACATCGAGAACGACTCGAAGCGTCGAAAAGATGAGAAACTGCAAGTGAGTATCCAGCTTATTTCGGTGTTAGCATTATACACTGGTAGTAACATCCATCTTCGCGTTGACATAACCGATAACTGTCATCTCATCTGAGCTGTTGCTGTCTCTCAACTCACCAAAAAAAAACCTCGTAGTCTATCCATTGTTGTTGTCCAATTCTGCTAACACTCTCCCAAATCATGCTTAACAAAACCTATATTACTAATTCGTAAGAGATAAAAAAATAGTACTAACACCTTAAAGAAAACATTACGATTTAAGGGTGAATGTTCCGGTTTCACTTTCTCGTAACTAGTTTGGAATGGATTATTATAAAAACATATAAATACTTATTCTAACGTAGAAGTACTGTACAAGCTTTAAATAAATTTAGTTTTAACTGCATTTTTTTAACATTTATTAGCTATTCCGGTGAGAAATAATTTATAATTATTTATAAACAACTGACGTTATTTGAAACAAGTTGTCTTAAATTACTTTTTTCATTAAAAAGAGCTTCAACGAATTAATTAACTTACTAAAAACCTTGCTTAAATTTTCTTCTTTAATGAAAATTTTGTTTAGTACTAAGTGATTAAATGTTGGTAAATGTGTTTACTTATTATAAAATCGAAAACGGCTGAAAATTGATTTAACTTGCAAAATACTAATTAAATAATTCCATTTGGAAGTTCGTTAACGTTTTCATTTCATAACAAACAAGCAAGTGAGAACCAGAACAAATCAGAAATTAGCTGTACTAACTATTGCTATTGCTGTTGTGCCTTGTGGGTTTTTGTATGAATTTTGATTTATATTGTTTTTGTATTTTTTTCAAAATTATTTCCAGGACGATGAAGGCGAGAAAAGCGATCAAGATTTAGTCGTAGATGTTGCAAATGAAATGGTGAGTTGAGTGTCGGCCCAGATTCAATGCAACCATTCCCAAATAACCCCGAAAATAAACCGAACCAAAACCACACCTTTGCTATTCTGTTTACCCACTATGAAATGAATACTAAAAACGTGAATGTGCCTTGCAGGAATCCCACTCACCGCGCCCCAACGGCGAGCACGTGTCAATGGAGGTCCGAGATCGGGAAAGTTTGAATGGCGAGCGCCTGGAGAAGCCCAGCAGTAGTGGCATTAAGCAGGAACGTCCGCCCTCACGGTCCGGCTCCAGTTCGTCACGTTCCACACCCAGCCTCAAGACAAAAGATGTAAGAAGAGAAATAACTAGTCAAAAAAGTATAGATATTTATCAAAATCCCGCCCATTCAGATGGAAAAACCGGGCACACCGGGCGCAAAGGCACGCACACCGACACCGAACGCCGCTGCTCCGGCGCCAGGCGTTAATCCTAAACAAATGATGCCGCAGGGACCACCGCCAGCCGGATATCCGGGGGCACCGTATCAGCGGCCAGCCGATCCCTACCAGCGTCCTCCGTCGGATCCAGCCTATGGACGACCGCCACCAATGCCGTACGATCCGCACGCGCATGTGCGAACCAATGGCATTCCACATCCCTCAGCCCTGACGGGTGGAAAGCCGTAAGTTATTTGGTTTAATTCGGAAACTGTTGGCTTTGGGACCATGGAACATATTTGTGCATGATAAATACAGACTATCTTCCATGTTTATATGTAGGAATAGGATCTATTATTTTTTGTTGGCCCAAGACTAAAAGCTATTGCTTCTGAAATAACTTGATTGCTAATGCGAAACTTAAATCTTTCCATCACGTATCAAATCGAAATCGGATTAAATGATACTTGAATCTTTCGATTTGAATTTTGCACAAAAAACGGGTGACCTTATGATCATTGATTAAAATTCATTTATCTAATTATTTATTATTTTTTTTGTCAGCACTTAAAAATTCTAAAACGACAAGTTAAAATTATCTGCAAAATGTTTTAGATAATTATTTAATAGGAATTTTCATTCTAAGATTGAATAACTTTAATAAGTAATTGAATTCAATTATTTATGTAAGTTTGATTAGCATATAAGGATTAGCCCAATCGAGAGCTTATCATTTCTGCCCGTAAAGGGTCTTGGGTCAGTTGCTCCCCATTGAACTTTGGACATACATCGTTCAAACTTTAGCGTTCCGTAAACAGTTTGAATAAATACAAAGTACAAATTAATATAATTTAATTATCATTAAGCTAATTTAGTTAGTTCTGATACCGGATCTTAAAAGAAACTAATTAACACCTCTTACCTCTCGCAGGGCATACTCTTTCCATATGAACGGCGAGGGTAGCCTGCAGCCGGTGCCGTTCCCGCCGGACGCGCTGGTGGGCGTTGGGATTCCCCGGCACGCCCGTCAGATCAACACGCTGTCGCACGGAGAGGTCGTCTGCGCGGTAACCATCTCCAATCCCACAAAGTACGTGTACACGGGCGGCAAGGGCTGCGTCAAGGTGTGGGACATCTCGCAGCCGGGCAACAAGAATCCCGTCAGCCAGCTGGATTGCCTGCAGCGCGACAACTACATCCGCTCGGTGAAGCTGCTGCCCGACGGCCGCACGCTGATCGTGGGTGGCGAGGCGTCCAACCTGTCCATCTGGGACCTGGCCAGTCCGACGCCCCGCATCAAGGCCGAGCTGACCTCGGCGGCTCCCGCCTGCTACGCCCTGGCCATCAGTCCCGACTCGAAGGTGTGCTTCTCGTGCTGCAGCGACGGCAACATCGCCGTGTGGGACCTGCACAACGAGATCCTGGTGCGACAGTTCCAGGGCCACACCGACGGCGCCTCGTGCATCGACATCAGTCCCGACGGTTCCAGGCTGTGGACGGGCGGCCTGGACAACACGGTGCGCTCCTGGGATCTGCGCGAGGGTCGCCAGCTGCAACAGCACGACTTCAGCTCTCAAATATTCTCGCTCGGCTATTGTCCCACAGGTAAGGAAAATGAATTTGTATTTGATTTATATCCTTGTTTAATTAAGCAATATTCAAAAGCTTTTCGAAACGAATTCTAAAAACATTTTAATATTACAAAAATCTCTTTAATTTGGCTTGTAAAATCATTTTAAAAAGTTGTTTGTCTGTGTTAATGTCTAGAGCAAGAACTAGATTGAATTTACACAGTTTATTAATCATTTTTGCCTTTTCTTCAGGCGACTGGCTGGCTGTGGGAATGGAGAACTCGCATGTAGAGGTGCTGCACGCATCGAAACCGGACAAGTATCAACTGCATCTGCACGAGAGCTGCGTTCTGTCGCTGCGCTTTGCCGCCTGCGGCAAATGGTTCGTTTCCACCGGCAAAGACAACCTGCTAAACGCATGGCGAACACCTTACGGTGCCAGCATATTCCAGGTGAGCGAATTGAATTGAATTAAAATTATTGAATTAAATTAAAATTATAATGCCTCGATTTTGATTTTTCAGTCGAAGGAAACATCATCCGTACTTAGCTGCGACATATCAACTGACGACAAATATATTGTGACGGGTTCGGGCGATAAGAAGGCTACTGTCTACGAAGTTATTTATTAAATCCACAAAACCAAGCAGTTTTTTCATTTTGTAATAAGCTCGTATAGTTTTTATTACAACAACAAAAACAATTAACTACAACAAACAAAATGTTCGAAATCATGCATATAACAGAAAAACACCAGCAGCATCGGCAGTAGAAGCAACAAGAAAGGCGGCAGTAGCAACGCATCAAAAAGCGAAGCAAAAATGAAAATTCTATAATATATATACAAAAATGAAAAAACTAAAATTTTAAGCGTACTTGTAGCTACTAAGCCTAAGCTAAGTCCAATAAATAAAAACAAACCAACAAGTTGAACACACAAATTGCAATTAAAAGAAAAAAGAAAAGAAAACACGTTAAAAGAGAACCAGAACCAGAGCGAAATAAAATGATAATGCATGCGAGCAACAGTATGAGTAATGAGTATGTTGTAAAATTAACAAAATGAAACCATAAACAGAAAACAGTCGGCGATACCTACCTACGTTCATCTTAACATAAAAACAAATAGAAGGATAAGTGGAATAGTCATTGCAATTGCAGGAGCGTTGAGATTATGATTACCAGCTGAGCAAAAGATTTAAATACGATGCGAGTGCTTTTAGTTTGTTTTATGTGAACGGTTTTTGTAATTTAGCTGACGAGTCAGACAGCGAATGCAACAACAAATGTAATTTTTAAGTTGTCAGTTTCCTTACCTCCCAGCTCCCCTGCACACACATACACAAAAAATACACAAAACACATTTTGCATAAAAGAAGGTATATATATATAAATATACATGAATATACTTAGTAAGCATTTTAGTTAAGAGTTTTACACTATAAATTAAACACGGAAACAACTTTTGAAACACTCACTCGCATTGGGGGTCACATAGTGCTCAGAGCAGTCGGCTTTTGCTTGTATGTAATTTGAAAATATGTATTGAGGAAATGGAAATTGTGGAATTACTTGTGTGAATCAAACTCTTCAGAACCAACTGTAAAATCCTATATATTTTGAGCAGCTAAACCCAACAAAAGCCGCATCAACAACCGAAACCGAAAAGTAGAACACAGCTAAATTGTTTAGTGTTTAGAGTATATATGAAAACGAATCGATTTATATATATATTTACAATTATATATATAATGCGAACGGCGAAATTGTAATAAGCAAGAGATAGAGTGCAGCACACGCTTCGATTTTTAATTTTACAAATATTATTATTATTGTGGTTATATATGTATATAATTATATTATAAATAATTGAAGCAAAACGAAAAAATAAAAAATTATATGTAATCGAAAGTAAATCTCCAGGCCAATAGCTATTAAAACACATCAGTGGTGTAGACGCTTCGCTGGCGCGGCAAAGGAGCACCTTGCTGGCGGGACATTTTCGTGTGCAGCTCCCGCAATCCTTCGCATTGACGGCCAGAGATCTGCCGGAACTTTTCAATGGCAATGGGCAGCAGATTGTCCACCAAAAATATCTTGTTCTTCATTACAAAGTTGGGCTGCAAGTGGACACGTTTTAAAAAGGGAAATGATCAACTTTATGTGAAACTTACATTCACGGCCATATCGCTGGGCGGTTTTAAAGAGTGCTGGGCAACAAACAGCTCCTTGAGCAGCAGTTCCAGACTCTGCAGCAGGGTTTCGCACTTGGCTAGGCAGCCACAGTGCTCGGTGAGCTGCAGAAAGTGCCGAATGAAGACCACCGTCGACTGGGTAAGGTTCATCCAAGTGTCGCCAGTGGCCTGCGCCCGCACATCGATGCCCAAGACGTCCAGCTCCAGGAGCAGTCGCTTCAGATTCGACTTGGTCTGCAGGTTGTATGGCTGCCAGCTCTCCTCAGTGCGTCCCACAGAATCCAGCAATCTCTCCTTGGACTCCTCGATCAGCGACTCGAGCGTGGTGCGCAGCAATCCCTCCAAATGGTAGCTAATGTCCAGACCAATCTCCGTGAGCTTCGTCGAGGGCTTGCGGACTCGCTCCACGCACTTGGCTACTGTCTCCAGAGAGGTGCCTTTGGTCAGGTAGTGTTTGATCAACTGGCTGGCGAAATATTGCAGTTCAGCATTGCACCACACCACTAGAGCTGAAATATTTGGTTTATAATTAACGTACATTTTTATTTAATTTGTTATCTTACTTTAGTCATTTCTCTAGTTCAGGTAGTCAAAACGTGTCATTACCCATTACTTAAAAATTTAGTTTAAGGTGGGTCAAAATTCAAATAAGATAACGCCTTATTTGGACAAGTAATTCACTATTAATAAAACATAGTAGTAGTTAACTTAAAAAAAGATAATTTAAAGCCGTAACAGTCCTAAATTACATTTCTTTAATGAAAAACTAACGCCTAATTTAAGATGAAATGTTGTTAGTCATAATTTTAAGTTGGAGTTCGGCCCATAGTCTTGTTCTCTTTAAATATGTGTAAAACCGTGACTGTTTTGGGGAATATTGCCGCAACTTACCACTCACGCATGCCGGTTGCTGCTCGAAGGCGGTGAGGAAATCGCAGGCCACCTGCGTAAGATCACAGAAGAACAGCTCCGAGATATCCGCATTGTTCCTGCGGGCCTCCCTTTGCGCCACCCTTAAACTGACTGCGCAGACCTTCAACAGAGTGGCACTCGCCTGCCGGTAGCGACCCATTTCGACGAGGATCTTCAGCGGACGCTTGGCAGCTCTCAGAGCGATTTGCAGATTACGATTGTGACTGTTGGACAGCTCCTTCAGCAGGACATTTATGAGCTTCAGCTCCTGTTGCTTCACCTTGTTCTCAATGACGTCCGCCAGTGGAATCTTCTTCCTGTTTTCGTTGCGCATGAAGTCCTGGGTGCGCTTGATCAGCTCCTGGGCATCCTCAAAGTGCCGCTGCGCCACCAGGGTTTGGATCTCCTCACTGGCCGTGCTTAGCCACTCGGGTGTCTGATCCTCTAGAGACTTTGGCTCTCCGGGACTCTGAGGAGTTGTTTCCTTCTCCGGGGTGGAAGCTTTCGACTGCTGTTTGACTCTAGTTGGGGGCTGCGGAGCCTGTCCCTTCTTGGGCTTCTTTTGCTGATCGAACCGAAAGGCTTCTTCGAGTTTTTCAATCCACTCCGTCTTCCCTGCTGCCGTAATGCTTTGGTAAATCTTGGACCCATCTGGTGTGATAATATTAATGGCATTTTTGACGCCATCCAAATCCTTGATGTTAATGACAGCTATTTTCTTGGGATCGTACTCGGTGAGAAAGTCCAAGCGCCTGTGGGATATATATTTATTAGTAATAGTTTTTCGAGAATATATAGTAAGGAACCCTACTTATCATGCTTCACTTTGCAGACGATTAGCACATCATTGAACAGGAAAAAGAAAACCCTCTGGATGGGCCGATAATCGTTGGCATCCAATTCGATTAGGGCTCCCTCGTTGAGAAAGGTCTTGCCCTCGAGATTGCCATTAAAACCCTGCACCATTTCCTTGACGGCCCGCGTAGCATGGCTGTTTTCCACATCCTCTACCGCCGTAGAGCTCTCGACTTCCAAACTCTCCGCTTTCAGACGACTTGAGGTCTTTCCATCCGTCATGGTGGCCAAAATGTTACGCTGTTCGATCAGAATGTGCGACAGTTGGTACATTTCCGACTCGAGATCTGCGATTGAAATAGCATATTAATATTACCAACAAAAATATATGTGTTTCATAGGGCGTAACCTACGTGATATCTCCTTGGCCGTCTGTATAAATTCCATATAGTTTTTTTTGCATGTTTGTTTGAGAGTCGCGGCCGTAGTTTCATTGTAGGCCTCGATTTCCTTCTTTCGCTGCTGCAAGTCGCTGCCACCCACGCATTCTCGCGTCAGGTCTTTGGTATCTGCAGGCGAGGAAGTGCATTAGAAGTCAAACCAAACAGAATAATCCAAGAAAACTTACACTTCTCAACGCTAAAGTTAAAATCGTCGAACTCCTTCATAATTGGAATGTAAACTGCAGCTGAAGCAGACCATTCACAACGAAACGCGGAATCAGGTGGGATCAAAAGTAGGGTGGTTCAAACTATCTTGAATACTACGTTTGCACTGGAATTTAGGAAGTTTGTGTTGAATAAGTAAGTATATTTCGAAATCGAAATTCTAGTTTGTATATTCTTTATCTATAAAGCACTTTAGCTTATATTCATTTAAAAAACTATTTTTTTAAGGAAAATTGTATTTATTTAATGACTATATATAAGCAGCTACAAGATTATAAACTCTTTCTAAAACTTTAAAGATATTATAGCCTGATGCCAATGGAATCAGGCACATTTAAAAAGTCCGCTAATGCGGCAATGGAATCAGGCTATAATATTGTTTAATATTTAATATTCGGAATGCAAATCCATTTTCCACCTGTTGCACTTAAAGTAAAATGCAGTGGGGGACTGCAGTGAGAACACCTCAAAAATAAGTGCACCGGCAACAGCTGCTTCTTCCTGTTTAGCCATTCCCCTGTGCGCGTGAACACGCCTTGGGCACCTTACAATCATACACCCTGCGCTTATTGTTTTGGTTGATGAGTAATCTTTGAGAAACTCCGTCATTCCTTCACGATTAGATCTTGTAGCACAAGAAATCCTTCAAAATGGACTGGCTATTCGGCAAAAAGATCAGCCCCGATGAGATGCTGCGCAAGAACCAGCGGGCGCTGAACAAGGCGATGCGGGACTTGGATCGTGAGCGGATGAAAATGGAGCAGCAGGAGAAGAAGATCATCGCTGACATTAAGAAAATGGCCAAGGAGGGTCAAATGGATGCCGTGAAGATCATGGCCAAGGATCTGGTGCGCACACGTCGCTATGCCAAGAAATTCATGCTGATGAAGGCTAACATCCAGGCGGTGTCCCTCAAAATCCAGACGCTCAAGTCTCAGAACACAATGGCACAGGCCATGAAGGGTAACATACATAGCGTCAGCTGATTCATTAGCTTATCATCCCGTAAACCCCATTTCCCAGGTGTTACCAAGGCCATGCAAAACATGAACCGCCAGCTGAATCTCCCACAAATCCAGAAGATCCTGCAGGACTTCGAGAAGCAATCGGAAATGATGGACATGAAGGAGGAGATGATCAACGACGCCATCGACGATGCCATGGAAGATGAGGGCGATGAGGAGGAGACGGATGCTGTGGTGTCCCAAGTGCTGGATGAACTGGGACTGCAGTTGGGTGAACAACTAGGAGATCTGCCCTCTGCCTCGGGATCTTTGTCCATTGCTGGAGCAGCTGGCGCCCAGAAAGCCCAGGCTGTGGCCGCCGGAGGAGTGGGAGGCGGTGCAGCAGCTGGCGGAGGAGGGGGAGCTGGAGGAGGCGGTGCAGGGGGCTCAGGTGTTACCGGCGGCAGTGGCGCCTCATCGCCCATGTCCGATGCCGATGCGGATCTGCAGGCGCGCCTGGACAAGCTGCGCAAGGATTGAGCTATTTGTAAGCACCACTGCCTGCCCATTTTATATAAGAGCCACCGCCCGATTGTATCTCCCGAAAGCGAATGTTATATTAAAGAAGATAATGCTTGTGTTTTCCGTTCCGTTGCGTGTTTGAAAAATCGATGAGCAATTTCCATTTGCCAGCTTTATTGGGATGTACTAGAGGTATTTTCAATAAATTGGCAATACTTCTTAGTTTAGGGCTATGCAACAATTTGGTATTTTAAAAAATATATGAATTTCAAACCTGTCTGCAATAAATTTTAGCAAGAAGAATTACAAAGTTATTTCTTGATGAAGTCTGAGTTCTTTTCACTTTTTGGTTGCATTTGTCTAGTTGGCATTTAATACTTTTGTTTATGTGAAATTCGAATTGCTATCTAGATACTATATACTTTCTTATCTGGAAAGAGAACTATAGATCCATTTACAAGGTACTTGTATTGTTCAAAGGCCATAAATGAAAAGTAAAATAACACTTGAACTCACACCAGAGATAATAGCGCAACTATGTTTGCTTAGTTTTGTTTATTTCTTTTTGATGCCCTATTTCCGAAAAATGTCTGCAAAATAAATTGTTCTCTTAAATTATAACTTTAATTCCAGCTTCAAAATCATTTTTGTTTAATACACATTTAATTCACAAGATACAGAAAAAGTTGTCTACCTCTTTTCATAGTATTTGTATCTATTACCTTATCGGGGTGAAGAAAAATTACCTTTCACATTACTAGTAACAAGCGTATATATTTGCAGGGGTACAAACGATGAGTAAAGATAGCACTACACACACAGAACCGGAAATTGAGTAGGAATTTTAGAAGCCGCTGGCCAGAAAGACCCGCTCCACCTCGCCGAAGACCTGGTCGGCATCCGGACTGGCGTCGATCCTCTTGACCTGGCCGGCGCCCTCAAAGAACTTGATGATGGGCAGCGAGTCGTTGTTGTACGTCTGAATCCGCTTCTTCAGGCTGTCCATGTTGTCATCCGTCCGGCCGGAGCCGCTCTGTCCACGGCCCAGGCACCGCTGCACGCACACATCCTCACTGCAGTCGAAGAAGAGGACGAACTGCATGTCCACCTTCTCGGACATCTGGCGATTCCAGCCGTCCAGGTTATCCTGGTTCCGGGGGAAGCCGTCGACGAGGAATCGCAACTTTCCCGAGGCCTTCATGGCGTTCTCCAGCAGCGAACACGTGACCTCCACGGGCACAATTTTGCCATTTCGAATGTAATCCTCGATGAGGTTGCCAAATTCAGAGCCCTCCCGCGAACGCTCCTCCCGGAGCAGGTCTCCGGCCGACAGATGGGTGAACTGGAAACGATCCACTATCTTGGAGCACTGGGTGCCTTTTCCGGCTCCCGGACCGCCCAAAACGAAGACAACCTTTGGCTTCTCCACGCTCATGATTCCGATTTTGTAAGGTCGGTTGGGGGCGGTGGTTATGGTCTGTTTTCTGGCCTTCGAATGGCGCAATATCTGCTGCGTCAGCGTTGTAGGTGCAAGTCCGCAATCGATGGCTGCTCTTAATGACAATAGCAATTTCATTCGTCCATAGTTGGTTTTGTTAACGGGGAAAAATAAACAACGTGTTTTCAACGGCAACAATGCTCAATTTTCCCAAGAGAAATGTTAAATCATCGTTTTCCTAACATTTATGTTAACGCGTGGTGAGTGTGTGTGTATAGAGCGCCGCATTGGGTACACCTCACCACTATTTTCACGCACAAGCGCAGCTGTTCGAAGAGCGTTTACCAGCACTGCCGCCGGTTTCGGCGGGAGCGCACATATTTTAATGGCAAGGGAGATCAGGATCGTAAAATACAGTGCGCTATCTAAATACTGAACTTATTGTAAGAGAATACTAATTCTTCTTTTTTTAAATTATATTATTATTTAATTTTGTTTATTTTTTATAGCAATTTTGATACCTAAATATGTATTATTTGTAGAACTTTAAGAGAAGAGTCTCAACTGGTTAGTTTTTCCTTTACAAACATTTTGGTTTTTCGTAGTTTTCTTTTATTATTTTGTAAATTACCTGTTAAATAAGCCTATTAAATTAGTTGCGCCTGGTTGTTCTGTACCAAGTCAGCCACTAGTTGGTAGGGAATAATGTGCTGGGAACCGGCTGCCATGTCCACCTCCTCATCATCGACGCCCACGATCACGGCGGGCACTGAAATGATAGAAACACTTTAGATAATAGACATTTGTAGATTGTTAAGGATTGTTACCAGCGACGTTTGCTTTGAGGAAGACATGGCTCATCAGGTTGGGAGTCACTATCCTCTGTTCGGCTTCTCCTCTCTGCTGATTGGGCATGTACTGGGTGGCCACCTTGTGGAAGTACTCGTCCACATTGCTGGCAAACTCCTTGGCGAACTTCGTTTCCTCCGGAGACAGGCGTTTGTCATCCGGTTCGCGACTCTCCTCCTGGTTCAAGATATGCTGCGTGAAGGTCTCGATCTTCTGGAGGCGACATCGCAGATAGCTGGCCATTATATAGCGCACCCTCTCCAGTTCCATGGAGTGTACCACGGCCCGGAAATCATTTTTGTCCAGGTCACGCATCTGCTCCTCCATGTGAGCCACCTGGGAGACCATCAGCTCCAGCATGTCCGTCTGATTGGGCAGGATCTCCGGAGCGCACATCTCGTTGATCCAGGCCGTCTCCAGGATCTCCAGAACCTTGGGGGAATGAGAAACTGCTTAGTTTGTAGGGTTTTAACGGGATCTCTGTAATGTTGCTCACCTTCTGAGCTGTTATTTGTTCCATATCGTCGTCATCCTCATCCTCCAATCCTGCGCCATCGCTAATATCGTTTTCCATCTGGGTTTCGGGTACATCTTCTATATCCGACATGGTTTTTGGGAATATTGTTTATTTTGGTGCAGTTTTTGGCGCAATGAGTCCAAATGTGTGCGTAACCGTGGGAATGGCAAAAAATTTAAAACTTTGGACGACTTAAATACCTTATTCGAGCATTTAAATTAGTTTGATATTGGGTTGACAAAAAATTAAAAACGAAAGATAATTTTTAAATATAATTCGTTTTGGATATAATAAAATCAAGATTTCAAATTTGAAATATATTTAGTTACCCACATTGTTAGCTACTCCCTGCGAATGGCATAACGTCTTGTGTTATTCAACACTTGAACAGCACATGCGATGGCAGCCGCACAACAAACCGATTTTCAGAAGAATTTTCGCCTGATTGTGGAGAAGATCTTCAACCACTGGCAGGATCTTCGGCTGGCAGTGGAGCATGGAATGGGCGGTCGCAATGGCCAGCAGGTGGGCTTAGTTCTACACCCAAAACAGCATATATTCTAACCTATTCCCAACACCCTGCCAGGTGGCCATCGAAATCATGGACTACACCTATCAGTATTGTGTGTCCAATGAGAATATCACCCAAGGCGAGCTGCAGGAGGTCGTGGAGGAGCTGATGGACCAGGAGTTTAATACCCTGTGCGACGACGACTCCATTCCGGAAATTTGCCGCAATCTGCTGCGTTATAAGCTGCTGGCCCAGCAGAATCAGTATCCACAAATCGAGGCGGAGCTGAGTAAACTTCCTGCGGGCAAGGAGTGGCTGCGTCCGGATGTCAAGATCACCTACACACCCATTGAAGGAGACTCTTCCTCCGACGAGGACATGGACGACGATGACGACGACGAGGACGATGAAATGGGCCATGAGGATGAAGATGATGCCCCCAGCAGCAGTGGCAGGATGACCCGCTCGCAAACACGCAAGCAACAAGCCCAGGAGTTCGTGGAACCCGAAGATGGCTGGACCACCGTGCGAAGAAAGTGATTTTCTTAGGGATTATTAAAAGCCTGTTAGTTTTTTAGTTATAATACGCTGTATTTACTTCCTGGAGGTCCAGAAAACGCAGGGGTGCGATGGGAGCACGTGTCACGGGCTGGTGGAATGTCCTGCAAAGGTTGCAGTTCACTGGAGAAGGCTTCTTGGACTGGGCTTCCAGGCTTTCTTTGCCCCTTTGCAACTGCGACCAGGAGGTGAACTCAACTCCCTTGGGCAGAGCCAGCTTGGGATCCACCACGGAGGCTATATCGTCCACATCCACTGTCATCGAGAGATTAATAGCCGGGTAAATGAGGAAGGCAAAGAACCAGGCGAAGACCAGCACCAGAAATGGCACAAACACGGCAAAATATTTGTCCGGCAGATACGAATGCAGGCCAAACTCCACGGGTAGCAGGGCCCAAGCCACGTAGACGAAAAAAAGGACCGTAAACAGCATATAGAAGGCGAATCCGTAGATCGCCCTATGCGGAGTCGGAGCCGGACTGTGTTCCGGCATTATCTTGGCCCTCGGCGATTACTTTGTCCTCTTGGGAGTCTCCGAACTGTTTGATGGTGTCCTGGCAGAGGAGCAGGCCCTCGAAGAAGGAGGTGATAGCAGTGCGCAGGCTTTTTACTTGGTCAGCCTGGAAATTAACCACCAGGACATTGCCCTCCAGGCTCAATGTTTTCTGCACGAAATTCCGGCGAGGTTCTTGGTCCACACTGAGCACTCTGTGGGCGATCTCGGCCAGCCGCGTCGTCTCAAACGGCACTCTTATTGTGCTATTTAAGTAAAATATGTTTATTTTATATAATTAATTTATTTCAAGGCAAACTTACGATTCATTTGGTTTCTTTGCAATTTGCGGCATGATAAAAGTTTTTAATCAATTTGCAATGGCTCACATGTCACCGATCAATGTGAATGGCAAAAGGAGAAGAAGAAGAAGCATATACAGCTTGTTTATGCTTCCCATAATCAGCTGTTTACAATAACAAACAAATAGTTTGAGTTCCGCTGTTTGTATGTAGATAAAAGACATAAAGCTTATTATATGGACAATATGTTTATAAAACTCATGATACAAGTAAAATTGCGAAATCATCTTTAGTTTGTAGTTTCTTTATTACAAAAAGCTTTACAATATCAGAGCTTCAATCGAATCCCTCGGCTTACAATGTCAGGTTTGGGGTTTACTTCCTGGGCTTGATGGCTCCCTTGGGGGCGGGCTTCTTGCCGGCGACCTTGGCGCCCGGCTTTCCGGCGGTCTTTCCCGCCGTTTTCTTGGCCACAGGCTTGACCGGCTTCTTCTTCTCCACCACCTTCTTGACGGGCTTCACCAAAGCTTCCCGCTGGGTCTTCAGCGCCTTGACAATCTTCTGCTCCTCGATGAGGAAAGCACGGACGATCCTTTCGCGCAGGCAGCTGTGGCACAGGACTCCTCCATAGGTCCTGGAAACGGTCTTCAAACGCTTGGACATCCTGGGGCGCTCACTGGGCCTCGAGGGCGTGATCCCGCGGAGCTTCTCCTTACACTGACCACAACGCGGAACGGTGGGGTTCTTCTTCACGTACTGGTACACCAAGCGGCCGCCGGGAGTGCGAACACTGTAAACAAATGGGGAAATCTTAGCAATATGGAAGATCTACTATGATTACACGTCTTACATGCGCCTCTTGTTGGAGCGAGTGTTGTACGACAGACGTCGCCTCAAAGTCAGGCGCTGCACCATTTTGGGGCTGCTAATTTAACGCCCGAAAAAATGCACAATTCCCAAAACAATTTCCATGAAAAAGATCAAAAAAAGTTCTCATAAGTGGTTGTGCCACACAGAGTTGGCATATTTCTGCCGCATTTTCTACGCCAATAAAACGCTTTGCTGCATTCGCTGGCGAGATGTCTGCGGATTTAAGAACTTAAAAATTAAGTTAACGTACTTCGTAAAAAATCAAAAGAGGGAAAAGAAGAAGAGTCAAGTAGCGATGGCAGTATTGTATTAATGTTTTGCATTACGATATTTTTTCTTTGATACTCAATTCACACTGGGTCATGATTCACCAATTATAAAAAAAGCTTATGCGATTCGGTCCCTTAAATCTGTATGTTTAAATATATATATTTTGAATATTTTATATACACAATTAGAAATTAATTGTATGGCATTATACGGAAACATAAATGCTATGGCCAAGATGTTAGATTTTAAATATATTTACATTACAATTTAATTGGTAATGCGTCAAAGTGTGAATGCACTGCAGTAGCGTTCTTCTTCAGCATAAATACATTTTACAACACTGAAGGAATATCGATAGCCTGTAGATTGTACAAAACTTCCATTCCTTAAACACGCGCTTATTTTGTAAATAATCAGGAGTTTCGTTTGTTTTTAGCTGAAAATATGAGTTTTCTGAAACCGAAGAGCCACATAGAAAAGGGCGATGTGGTGATATTGTACTTGAGCGTCAGTTCGATGCATGCCATTGAAGCGGTGCCGGAGATAGTGAACAAAAAGGGCGAAACTATTCCCCATATTTTTCAGACCAATTATGGCTCGCTGAAAGTGGAAAGTGAGTTACTGCTCTTGGATTATTAGCATTTCCTGATTAAAATCCCTTTTCTAGATATTATAGGCGTGGAGTACGGCAGTCGCGTGGAGCTCTCCAAGGGTTGGGCCCATGTCCTCCAGCCCACGCCGGAATTGTGGACCCAAACGCTGCCACATCGCACGCAGATTATTTATACCCCCGATATTAGCATGATTATCCATCAACTGGAGGTAAGACCCGGTGCGGTGGTCATTGAATCGGGCACGGGATCAGGATCGCTATCACACTACTTTCTGAGAGCCCTGAAACCCACTGGACACCTGCACACATTCGACTTTCACGATGCTCGAGCGGATCAGGCACGCGACGAGTTCCGGCGTCATGGAATCGCCGACTTCGTCACCGTCTATCACCGGGATGTGTGCAATCTGGGATTCGGCGGGGAACTGGACGGGAAGGCCGATGCGGTCTTTTTGGATCTGCCCGCACCCGATCTCGCAGTGCCGCACGCCTTTAAGGCGTTGAAACTGTCCGGTGAGTAGCCAACATCGCGTTGACAACTAGTTGTCAGCGCCCTTTTGCGGGCAATCCGGCAATCAAGCGTATATGTTGAGTTAGTAGTGATGCCAACAGTACATTTATAAACTACGTGGTTTAGGTACAAGTTGCAGACCAAAATGAGTTTATAGGTAATGTGCAAAAGTACGAAGAAAAAACTTCCGAATTTAAAGTTTATTTATTTTGTATAAAGTATTTTATATCTTATTTAGAAAACTATAAAAAAGTGCAAAAATATGGAAAATGTTAGTATGTACATATTGTTCAGTAGATTTGTAATACATTAATAGTTCTAAGTAATTAATATTTCTCCTATACGTTTAATGGTGGTAAGTAAAAGTCTTGTACTTAGCCGTTTTTTTTCTTTTATTCTGAAAACATGTTCCTAGCTAAGACAGATATTCAGAAATAATTGAACAAGCTTTAAATGTACCTACTTAAGACAACAGGTACAAATAAAATATCTATGTATACCTCAACACTGTCGGTCAGTCAGTCAGTTATCCGGTAAGCCAAAGATCCAGTCAGCTAGTCAGTCGGGCTGCCATTTCACCGTGTTTGACATTGAATGAGCCCGCTTTTGACACTTGATGCGGCCAAGGCAGGCTGACCGGGCGAGTTTGTCATTAGGCGGATGGAAACTTCAATTGTTCAGCAGGCTTGCACCGGACCTAGGGAACTACTGTATTGGAACCTCAAAAAGAAACAAAAGAAAAATTAGTAATTTCTAGAGGTTTTATATAAAAGGATATATTATATTTAAATAAATCCATCCCAAAGTGTAAACCTGATTACCCCTTCTCTTTTTCTGCAGGTGGTCGCTTTTGTTCATTCTCGCCCTGCATCGAGCAGTCGCAACGCTGCATCCATGAGCTGACCAAACTGGGCTTCAACGAGATTGTCTCATTGGAGGTGCTGCAGCAGGAGAACGTGGTCAAAACGCGCACGCTGCCCGTCATCGATCTGGAGTTCCTTAAATTACCCAAAACCGATGAGACGACAACGGCAGCAAATGGAGAGGAAAGCAAAGCGCCCAAGGAGGTGAAAAAGTATTTGACCTCGAGTAATCCCCAAACGCTGCCCGGTCACACGGGCTTCCTCACCTTCGCCACTTTGCCACCGAATATACCAAAGGCATGATAAATAAACTTCAATTTATTTTTATTTGACCCACAATCCACGAGCTTTATCATTCGTCGTAGGAATAAGAGTAGGAGAATTCCTCGAAGAACTTGCGTTCGCTGGTCTTAACGAAGCCGCAGTGGTAGCAGCGCTGCTGCTTCACTTGCTCCTGGGTCTTCCGGTTCCAGGACTTCTTCTCCGGCGCCCAAGGAGTGCGCTGCTCGGGAATGGCCACCTCGGTGCGCTCCGGATTGCCGCTGCAGGTGGGACACCGACCCACGACAGTCGGCTTGGGCAGCATGCCGTAGATGAGCGGACCCGGCGGTTGTTTTCCGTAAATGGTGACTATTTCCGGGAGGCTGGAGTACGGACGGGTGGGAAAGAGTTTCTCGCGGTTAAGGAAACTGAAATGCAGGAGAGGAATAAATTGAATGTGAGTAGACTTAAGATTAAAACTTCACTGTAGTATTTGTGGTATTAGCAATTGGGTCGATATATTTTAATATACATTTTAAAACTGAAAGAGAATTCCAGGTACGAAAGATAACAGGACATCCAAAAAAGTAAGCAATAGAACTCTGGCAAGCTGAAAAGTCTTAGAAAAAAACATAGAAGCAAGTTATACAAGTTAGTTCTGATTTGTAAGAACTGGCAATTAGTTGCTAGGGTGAACAAAACAGGAAATATATTGAGTTTTTTTTTTTTTTTTTTGTGTATTTATTAATTGCCAAGCTTATAGAAGTATAGTTTTTGAATAATTTTTTCTTTAACTATTGCTGATATTTTTTAAGCTTACTATATTGAATTAATGGAAATTGAAATTAGTTCGTTTGATGGGGTTTTTACCCGGGCATTATTTTAAATCGGGAATATTAGGGCTACTCACTTGGGCCTTGGCTCCAGCCAGAGGTTGTTGATGCGCTTGGTGCGCATGATGTCGCCCAGTTTCTGGAGGAGTCTTAGGTTCTCCCGCTCAATCTGCTGCTGGCGCTCCCGCTCGACCTGCTGCTTTTTCCACTTGCGCTGCACATGCTGGTGGGAGCGCGGCGAGTGGGTGTCGATGGCCGGGCGGGCGGACATGACCTTCTCGCGGTGCTGGGCGTACCGCAGTTGCTCCCACGGCTGCTGAAGCAATTTGTCGCGACGCGAGATCATCTTCGGTAGTTCGGTGGAGGATAAGTGTTGATGGGATAGCGGTTCGCTGTTTTGTTTAATACACCACCCCGAATCGCCTAGGTTTGCCACAACAAACAAACAAGAGGTGTGTGTGTGCGCGTCCATAACAA